CCAGGAAGAAGGGCGTCCAATTCTATTTCTGATTCTGGGAAGTGAGGAGGGCCAATGTGTTGCCATGGTAACCTGAAATCCCCTCCCCCAGGCTAAGCCCATTCCCCAGGCTGAGGGCCTAGGAGGGTGGGGCAGAAAGGAGAAGCAGAGGAATTCAGTTTGAGGGTGAAGTCAGTGTGTCTCCCCTGTGAAGGCGAATGCCCAGTTTGGCCTTCCCTCTTAACTTCACCTCAACTTCCCAACAGGCACTGCGGAAGACCCCAGCCTTGGGGAGAAGATCCAGTCACCTGGGAAGAAATTTTCTCTGCTGTGGGTCAGGCTGAAGCCCTGTCACCTAATAGGCCCTAGGGAATGTGAAAGTGACAGAAAGGTCATCAAGGCAAGAAGGGAGGTTATGTTCTACCAGGAGTTGTGTGACCCCCGGGCCAACCTGGCCTGCTTGTCCTATTTTGGGTTCCCTTGAATTTAGGAGGCAGCTCACTCTGAAATCCCTGCTCTCTGTTCTTCCAGCTTCAACACCCTGGGCCCAGGGAATGCTCTACACACCTCAGAAAACTTAAGGTCAGAAAGCTCCTTCAACGGCCTCCCAGGGTAGTCACACACCTAACAATGGGCCAAAAAGCGGGATTTATTTCCCTGGGGCTTTGTCTCTGGGTCTCGTACATCAGCTTAAGTGCTCCCAAGGCTGCAGATCTGTGGTATTAGAGCTGTGTAGGGAGGACATTCCGTCTAGCAAAGCCCAGACAAAGGAAGGCTTCTGAAAAGACCCTAAGGTTTCTTCTTGTGACCCAACCTTGTCTGGATGCCGATGGGACATTGCAAGGGGCCTCCTCTCCCAGCTCGGTGTCCTCTCTGGAACAATACAAGAGACCCCCGCCTTGGACCGTTGGCAGCCCTGCAGTTCATCCTGGCCACGTTTCACCCATTCCATGGAGACAAGGCCAGTCTGCGAGGAGTTGGCATCATCTGCTCCCGGTCCCACCTGCACAACCACAGAGGAAGGCAGCCAGAGACGAGAACCCCAGCCTCAGGGAACTTGAGAGGGTGAGGCGAGAGAATCCACTCCTAATCTGGGATGTGGAAGGCAGAAGCCAGCAGTGCTGGGCGGATATGGCTTCTGAGCTCTAGGCACAGAGAAATTTAAATAACAGATGTTTAAACAACCTTCCCTGCAAGCCGCTGGTGCAGTGACCCCTCTGCTGTGATGTGTTGCAGCTTAAAAATAGCCCACAATGAACCGCTCTGAGCCCCAACTGACTCAAGCTTACGTAACTCTGCGTGAAAGATAGCCAGCCGCATCAGCCAGAGGGCGGGCAATGGCACAGCCTCTGACTGCTGCTCACAGCTGGCTGCTTCTTGCCTCTACTGGGAGCAGACCCCCATCCAAAAGCCACGTGAGCAAGGAAGGGGCGAAGGGTGTTGTCAGAAGCACACGCTAACGCACAGAGATCTCCAGCTACGCCTGCAGAGGGGATGTGAGGGGAGCCAGGGACCCAATAAGACCCAGGTCCTGCGGAGAGAAAGCGATGAGGCGATAAGGAGAGCAGCGCATCCAGTGGACAGGGTGACTGCACCTGCCCAGGCTATTTACGCCCCCCTTTGAGACGGGAGCTTCTTGACTTGGCAGAACAGGTGGGCAAAACTTACTGATGCGTGGCTGACACTAGCACTGCCATTGAGCCCAGGGATGGAGCCAACTCCCTTGAGGCCTCTAATTCTCCAAGGCATAGCAGCATCCCTGGAAGAGAGAGGGAGTGCCGGCTTCAACGCTAATTGAATCCTGTGGTATTTGCTATCAGCTACTTCTCTATCTGGTCCTAGATCCACAACTGGCCACGAGCATGTACAAATGGCTAAGCCAGCTGGAAGGAAGCAGAGGGGAGAGGTGGGGGGGGTCTCTTTGACATCGAGAGGACTCATTGGTCCCTCTGCTGGTGCCCATGCTGAACCCCTCTAGTGAGTCAGTAACTTCCTTCAGTTCCTACCAACTGAACTCAAAACAGGAATCACCACAGGCCAGATCCTCTGAGGTCCAGTAGAGCAAGAGTGAGGCAAAGCATATCTCAGGCCAGACTTACGGTTCACCATCAAAGCAGGTCAGTCTACTCACTACATGCCTTCCAGGTGCCAGACGACAGTGACACCAATGGGCAGTCAGGAGGCTATGAGTCATCGGCTGCTTTCTCAGCCTCAGCTCCCACCATGGCTTCCCCAGTCTTCATTGGCATTTGCTTGCCCCTTGGCCCTACTGAGTTGTCCCAGAAGGAGATAGGACATATTTGTTTGTTTGGAACAGTGTCTCATGTAGTTCAAGCTGGTCTTGGACATATGATGTACCCAAGGCTACCCTTGAACTCTTGCCTCCACCTCCCAAGTGCTAGGATTGTAGGTGTGCACCATCATGCCTGACTTGAAAGGTTAATGGCTTGCTGTCCACAACTCTTGGTGGGAAGGCTGGACTCCAGACTCCTGGAAGAAAACTAATCATGCCATCCTCACCTGGTAGGAGGCCTAAGCCTGGCAAGGCCATTAGGCACCTCTCCTTTCTACTAGCCATTCACTGTACCTGAGCAATATCCCAGACACCACACACACACACACACACACACACACACACACACACACACCATGTATGCATGCATATACACTTGCACACATACTACAAGAGAGGCCTCCCTCAGCCAAAAAGCTCATTCAGAAACAACCTAGTATGCCCAGCCCATCTGTGAAGGCAGGATTTAAATGACTCCACTAGACCCAAGATAAATGATAATTAGGTATTTATTAAGGAAGCACTTACACAGATAGTAAATAACCACCATGATTTTCCTGCTCCAGAAGATGCAGTCTGCCCTTCTGATGCTCTCTGCAACCCCAAGAGAGCTTGAGCCAGCCCCTCCTTTACCCTGTAAGGGGTCAGGTCTGAACCTGAAACAAGTTCACTGGCAAAGCAAGATGCTACTACACATCTGGGAACCTAGAGCCTCCCTATGTGCTCCCCAACCCCAAAGCTCAGTCACCAATTTAAAATCCAAAATCAGCCCAACTCCTGACACCCTAGAATCGGGAGCCTAATGGACTTGGGACTATCAGCTGTCGAATGTGCTGTGGGGTGCAATCCAGTACCCCAAATATCTGCTTAACTGGAGCTCCTTCCTGAATAACTCCGACCCTGGAGACCTTTGACTTAGAAAGTTCCTGTTAGTGAGGTAACTGCTCAAATAATCTATTTTGCCCTTCAGATGAGGGCTTTTTGGGGTTAAAGGGTGGGTATATCAACAGGGCTGGTGCTTGCCTAAAGTCCCACCATGTGTCAGCACCCCCTTAACTCTGCCTCTCACTCCCTTCTCTGGTTTTATTTTTTATTTTTTTTCATGGCATGTGTCCTTTTGCCCATATCCCAATCTTCCTCATCACTGAATGTTAGTCTTTTTATTTTATCTTTATTTTTTGTTTTTTGTTTTTTGTTTTTTTTCTAGACAGGATTTCTTTGCATAACAGTCCTGGCTGTCCTCAAACTCACAGAGATCCATCTGCCTCTGCCTCCTGAGTGCTGGGATTAAAAGGGGTGTGCCACCACCCAGGCCCTGAATCTTATTCTTTATGGTCTTCTTTCTACTGTACTGTAGCTTGGACCCTTTTCCATGCTAAGTTCCCCTTCTGAACAGTCACCCTTCCTTTCTGAGCCTTTCCAGTGAACAGATGAGCCAGTGGGGGAGGAAGCCCTTCACATCACCCCAAGTCATGGCTTAGAACCCTGAGTGGTCCCTTTGGGATGAGGTTATGAGATAAAGGACTACAAGATGCAAACCCCTCCCCACTGGTGCAGGGCTGCAGCTATGGGGCGCCTCAGGAAACTCCATTACTCCTCTCCAAGCTCAGAAACCACACAGCTGTCCAGTCTTCAACTACATATGGCCAAGCAGTCAGTGACCAGGTGTGCAAGGCCATGGCTTCCTCTGTGCCTGTGCTGAGATCAACGGGGTGGTGCTGGAAGCAGGCAGCAGTTGCGCCTTCCACTCCCAGGACCCTTACCTTTATACCTGTTTCCCAGCAGAGGGGCCCCTTTTTACACTTTAAACACATGTGCTTCGGGTCCTGTGGATACCTAGGACCTATTCCCAAGATGCCAGGATAGGTAGCAATGAGGGTAGAAAACAGCTGGATGGCTGTGGGCCCAAGGAGACCCCATCTAGGAAAGAGCTCTGGTCCCAAATCCTGGGTCCCACTGTGACAGGGCATTTTTAAGGTACACACAGAAAGGGAGTCTTCTCTTCTTATAGACCTAGGAGTCATCCAGCCTGAAGAGTGGAGAAGACCATGGCTGCACAGGGAGGGGGCGCTCAATCAAAGGACAGTTAATATTGAAATCTATATCCTGGGCCCAGCCTCCCCAGCACTACAGCTCCTAATACCAACCAACGAGGCACCTTTGGCGTCAGAGCATAGGGGAGAGGTAGGAGGTGGGGTTGATCTCTCCTCCAGAGGAACACACCCCTCCAGGAGCTATGGCGTAGCGTCCTTGAGGGTATAAATAGCTGAGGAAGTTGGTCCTTCGAGCTTGGTTCCTTGCAAGTGTGGAGCTGATGCCTATCTAAGAGAGCTTCCCTCTCAAGGTTGCAAATGCAATGCTGGCAAGGACAGGAGGCAGGCGAGTGTGAATACCATGGCAGTAAATGCACATGCATGTGTACTACATAGGGAATCTAGGAGACCCGGTGAGGGGGGAGCAGTGCTAGTCTGAGCCCTGAAACGAATCAACTTGGCTGTTGCACACTTGGACACTCAACCTACCCTCTTGGTTCACCCACAAGATCTGGGCTTATTCACCCTCCCTATGCTCTGGAGCCTTCTGGCAGGCTCAGCCCCTTTAGAGCCACAGGGCCTTTGCACACGCTACTCTGCCCCAAATCGTTCATCTGAACTTAGTTTCTAATGGACTATTGCCACCTGAAAGACCTTTGGTAAGGATGTCACCTCCTGGGAGCCGCCTTTCAGCTCCCTAAAGCAAGCCTCCGCTCCCTCAATGTGCCTCCTCCTTTCTTTCACAGCATATACCATAATTTGTGCTAAAATATTTATTTCTTTTAGTGGTTTATACTGTGATATCTGTATGATCATTGCCGAGTCCTCTGTGCTCGGCAGGTAGGGTATAAAACAAACATTCCATAAATACATGCTACAAAAGGATTGCCCTCACTGGCTCATGCTGGAATGAGGGGCTTAAATGTGCTGTTTCCCACCTCCAGTAGCTTCAGAAAGTTAAAGGGAGGGGGTGTTCAATGCCCTTCAGCTTGTCATAGTCCAGAGGCCACTTAGCAGATATAGTCCCCATGGCCTACTGAGGGCTTAGGTCAAGTGGGCAGAGGTGGCTCTGAGAGAGGTCGGGGCCTTGATGTGCTTCTGTGATGCTGAGGCGAGGACTGTGGCGGCTCTGGCAGCACGTTTACATCATCCATGGTGCTGAGACCTAGGTTCACATAACCTGCGGACAGCTGCACGTAGTGGTCCCCAAGCAGAGAGCTCACTACCTGCTCTACTTCTATCACTAAGGCTCTAAAGGTGGGTCGTGCTGCTGGCTCAGCCTCCCAGCATTGCAGCATCACCTGGTACCTGTAAAAAGAGGGATGTCAGGTATAAGGTGTACTCCTTCCCACCCAGGGGTTCTGGGCAGCGGACAAAACAGAGATAAAGATATGTGATATGTGACAGGGCCTAGAGCCCCATCAGGACAGTGCAGGCCCTGCTCATCACTGAGATACCTGGCAGAGAGCCAGGCATCTCAGCAGTAAAGACTATGCCCTGGGACCTTATCCATGTGATCTTGGTGTGTTCTCTAACTTTTCTGTGCCTAGATGACACAGGGTAAAAAGATAGTTGCAAAATCCTCAGCACATGGCTAGTAGGCTCACAAGTGAATTGGATCATCACACCTTTTCCAGGTCGGATGTAAATTGAGGTTGGGCATGGTGGCACACGCCATTCCAGCAGTACTGGGAGGAAGAGGGATGAAGATAATGAATTCAAGATCAGCTTTAGCTACATGAGGGATTTGAGGCCAGCTTGGTCTACATAGTGATTTCTAGGATAGCCAGAGATACGTAGTGATCTCCTGTCTCAAAAACGAACCAGCAAACACATACCAGGCACAGTGTAACAAGCCTTTAATCCCAGAATTTATAAAGTTAAAGCAGGAGAATTAGCCTGCATTCAAGGCTAGCCTGGGCTACAGAGACCCAGTCTTAAAAACAAAAACAAACAAACAAACAAACAAAAAAAAAAAACTCTGCAGCAAAAAAAACTCTGGGTAAGTTAAACGGGGACTGAAAGAGAGATGCCTGGAGGAGCCCCAGCGGCACAGTGGTTCTGAAGCTGAGGTTCTGTAGGCTGACCTGCTGGATCCTAGAACATGCCTTGTCATCATAAGGATTGCATCCTGCCTTAATATAGTCTAAGTGTTTCAGACTGTCTGAGGGGAGTGTTGTTATAAAACCCACTTTACAGATGAGCAGAACTGAGCCCAGCAAGGAAAAGGGACTCTCCCTACTGAGTGCACCCTGCAGGGTGCCGCTTAGACCACCTTTATTTTCTCAGTGGCTGGGTGGACCTGCTGATGGCTTTTAGCTAGGCAGAAAAGAAAGACATTTTCCAATCTCACATCTGCTCACCAGGGACAGCCTGTATCAGTGACTGACTAATTCCTGGTGCAGAGACCGGGCAGCTCTGCTGGTCTCAATTTCAGCAGTCCTGTAGCGTGAGCTCCATCCCCCTCATGCTTGCCTCACAGCCACCCTCTCCCTCTGACAAGCCCTGTTTCCTTTGTCTCCCCCAAACCTACCACCGAAGCCCGCCCTCCTGCACATAGAAATCTGCACCTTAATCTGTACAGGGAGCCTGTCTTAGATACAGGCAGGCAGTAAAGTTAATTTCCCTTACTTCAAGCTGTGTGCATTAGTACAACAGATAACAGAAAGAAAGGTCAAGGCCAAGATGCGGAGAGCTCTGAGAACTACTCACACCCGTTCTGGAGCACAGCCTAGGACAGGAGTCGTCAGTGGCTCTACCTGTGACCTGGTTCTGTCTGTTCTAAGCGTGCAGACCTGAGCACAGCCTAGGTATGCCTGCTGATTAGGGAACCAAACATACCCCACGGGCACTGATGACACAGCTGCTGCCATCCCTGGGGAACGAAAAATCCCAACTACATGCAGGGAAAAAGCCCTGATCCAGCGATGCAGAGGGACTGGTGTGGGAGCTAACCAAACCTTTCTTTTGAGGTTGAATGAGTGGCAGAGATGGAAAACAGCTCTCCTCCCTTCCTTTGCAGGAGTGGGGTGGGGGAAAAGATCTGGGAAACCAAACCACTGGCCTCAACCCAGACTCTGAGTTGGAATGCTGTTACCATGGCAACCGCGAAGGCCTCTCAGAGTCCTTCCTTGCATGGAGGTGGGACCAGTACACAGATAAGTAAACTGAGTCCCAGAGAGGCTCCCTTTCCTGGACAACCAGAGGGTCAGACAAAAAGCCAGGCAGGACCTTGGTCTCTTCCCCCTCCTTGTCTCTGGAGCCTAGTCCTGCCCCCTCCATCTCCCTTTACATACTCACAGTGAATCGGGACAATACTCAGGCTGAGGCAGGCGACGGCCCTGAGCCAGGAAGCAAGTGAGGTCGAAAGGGTTGACATGTGGGTACGGTGGAGCACCCCGTGTTAGCAGCTCCCACAGCAACACACCAAATGACCACTGATGAAGAAAGGTGGTGAGACAGACTCAACTATCACCCCAAGTTAGGGGGCAGGTGGTTCCCCGGGTCCTCTATCAGAGTCGTCCACTGGAGACGAAGGACCCACCTCTGCCCAGACCTCATTCCTTAATACTGTACAGTTTCCTTCTTTCTGTCTCCCACAACTTCAGAGTTGTAAACCCTGGATTATTTATAAGGAAGGAATGAATTCACAGGTTTCATTTGCCCTGGCAGATACCAGATTCCATTTCACATTTGCCCAAGACAAATGAGCTATGGGGTTTGCCTAACTAACCTAGGGAGTGTCTGGGCTCAGATCATGCAGAAGCAAGGCAAGATACTCTAAGGCATGCAGATCAAATGGACCTGGAGCAGTGGGTACCTTACCACATCAGACTTGGTGGTGAATCTGTAGGTCTGAAGGCTCTCCAGGGCCATCCACTTGACAGGCAGGCGAGCATGACGTTGTTGTCGAACACTGTAGTACTCCTTGTCTAGGACGTCACGTGCCAGACCAAAGTCAGCCACCTTGACTGTGAACGACTCATCCAGCCTGAGAAGAGGAAATCGCACAGGAATTGATGTTCAGCTGGGGCTGTAGTTCAGTGGCAGAGCACTTGCCTAGGAACTGAGTGGCACCAGGTCTTGAGCCCACCTGTTCCAAGCCCTTCAAAGGACGTAAGAACCATACTGCCTAACCCCAGATAGACAGAAAGGGCAGCAGAGCAAAGGGGGGGGGGACTGGGTCCTCTCCTAAGGTGGCCTTTAACAGCTGTACATCCTCATAACCTGTCCCTTTGTTTCAAGCCAGCTACTTGAGTCACTCACATGCAGTTCCTAGCAGCCAGGTCCCTGTGCACAAACTTCTGCTCTGCCAGGTACTCCATCCCACAGGCTACCTGCAGGCCGAAGCTGATGAGGTCCTTCACAGTGGGGTTCTGAAGGCACATGGAGACTGGTGAGCATGGACAGAGGTGGGTGCGGGCTGGCACCGCCCACCCTGGATGGCAGAGCACTGACCCTCTGAGGGGAGCGAATGAAATGAAGCAGATCTCCGTGGCGCATATAGGGCAGCAGCACCCGGGGAAGCCCCTCTGGGGGTAGCACAATGCCGATGAGAGCCAGAATGTTGGGATGGTGTAGGCCGCGCATGAGCAGGCCCTCCCGCAGGAAAGCCTCCACCTCCTGGACCTCTGTAATGCCTGTAGGGTAAGCGTAGGTCAGGCCAAGGGCAAGAAGGCCCTTTACAAGGGTCAGATGGAGACAAAGGGAGAGAGGCTCCTCTCTAGGTTCACTTCATAAAGTGGCAGGGGAGCAGGAACAAAGGACCGCTCAGTCTGCGGTCACCCTTCTACCCACCCAGCCTATGCCTCACTTACGACTCAGTGATTTAATGGCACAGTGGATTTGGTTCTGTGCCTCATCTGTATATTCTCCGTGGTAGACAACACCAAAGTGGCCTAGAAAGAGCAAGACAGTAAAGAGGGACCTCAGTGCACAGACTCATGGCATGCCCTCTGTGACCAGCAATCTCGGAGCCCCAACCTGGCCTGTGTGACATTAAAAACAAGCAGCAGCCACACAATGGTAGGGCCATTTGCAGCCCTCCCATGCCCACTCATCCACGCCAGAAGCCACTGAAGATTAAATTCTCCAGAGATGAACGACATGGGGGCTCAGAAATAAGTAGTAGCCTCAGTGTCATACAAGTTAGTGAGTAGGCCAAGGCAGAGGCCACTCCAACTGTCCCTTGAGCACATGTCAATCTCAAGACCTCTCCTCTGCCCCTGACCCACCTCCCAATCCACCCCCCATACCTTTGCCAATGACTTGGTCACTATGGATGATTACTCGTTCATGGGGAATCAGTACATCCTTGACCTCGGCCAGGAGCGTCCTATCCAGATCCTCGAGCCGGATAGACTCTGTCCGAAGCAGTGGGACAGTTGTCCCATCCCGACTATCTGAAGATTCTTCGTGGCTCAGAGGTCCAGAAGCTGTATCATCAATGTCAGAGAATGTTGTTGGGGAGAGAGAGTGGGAGGCTTGTGGGGAGGGGCAAGCCCTGGCTCCTAGTGCCTCCCCAGCATCTCACCAAGGCCAATTCTGTAGTCAGAGCCAGAGTAGAATGTAGACAGGGACATGGCTGTGGGAGGTTGATCCGGGGATGACAAGTCATCCAGGTTGGGAGCAAGGACTGTGGAAAGACAGCCTGGTGGTGAACCTCTCCAAACTCCTGGGGACCAAGTTCCACTAAGGAAGTGTGTGAGACCCCAAGTCCTAGGGTTGCAGATGTTACAGTTCAGAGGTACAGGAGCTCACCTAGCTGCTTTTTCCGTCTCCGGGAGTTGAAGACCAAGGCAATGGCCAGCACAGCCACGAGCAGGATCAAGGCCAGCAGCGCTATAAGGAGTATACTCTGTGAAACCTTGCCTGGGCCTGACCGTATCACTTGGCCCAGGTTGTGACACCCACCATCTACACAGACCTGAAAGCAGACGGCAGTTTACGTCCAGACCGAGGCCCCTCGGCTCATGGTTTCCTGAAAGGGCCAGCTGTGTCACCTACCTGCAATGGGACACCATCCTTGCCAAGTTGCAGGGAGGGGGGCAGGGGGCAGACCACCACATCCCCCCGGAGCTCGTGTTGGCAGACTTCACCACCCACAGTCACGTTCACACTCACGCAGTCTGCCACGGTGCCAAGCCCAATATACTGCAGAGACAGTCATGAGGATGAACCAGAAGCTGGACTCTCTTAATCCCCCACCATCCCTTCCCTATTCCTTATACCTACCTCAAACTTAACTGAATGCTCTTCAGGCTTCAGAGGGGCTAAGCCAGCTCTGGGTGGACTGGGTGGGGGCAGGAAGCGAAAACCAGGCAGTGTGAAGCCAGCTGCTCCATCCCCCCAGACACTCAGGTTCCCTGTTGCCCACCCCTGAGGGTTTCGGATCACATATTCAGGCAGACGGCACTGACGCTGCTGTTCCAGATACTGCCCTGCACACTGCTGAGACCCACATGAAGGTAGTTAGGCAAATGGCCCACCCCTGACTGCGCCAGTCTCCTTAACCCAGGACATCAGGGACTGGTCCAGCCTTCCTCCCTCCTGGCCACCCTGTCCTCTCTACTCACCCTGTTCTGCACTGTGCTTTGTCCATCGTGGAACAACAGCGCTAGGTGCCACACCGAAGTCAGATGCTGGCCATGGATGGTGACTCGGGAGCCACTGTGGAGAAGGGTAGGGTAGTGGGTTTAGAGGACTCATTTAGAGACCCTCTCATGTCTTGGAGGCCAAAGTAGTCAAGGAGGTGGACTTACCTGTAGCCACAGTTGGGGCTGACGTCCAACACAATGGGATCTTCCTTGTAGTGAAAGGTCCAGGAGCCAGGCACCTCAGCACCTCCAATCTGCAGATGAACGGGGGCCCTGCCTGTGCCAGCTCCAGGAGGTGTGACACATAAAATCTGTTCCTCACTGACCCTGCAGGAAGGGGGGAAAGGTCTAAGGCTTGGTAGGCCCTCCGACTTCCTCTGTTGGTTGTCTTCCCCAGCCACCTACACTCCATGGGTCTGGAGAAAGGATGCTCCCAGTAAGACCTCCAGAAGGCAGAGAGATGGAACACGCTCCTGTACCCTTGGCTGGAGACAGTGGCCTCTATGGTGGGCTTTCCTGTCTCTGGATTGGAGGGGACAGCAGTTCCTTCTTGGACCTGATCCCTACATTGACCATGTGACTGAGCCTTCTTTCTCCACACTGGAAATATCTAGGTACCCACCTTGTGCAGCTCCCTGGGTGGGAACGGAAGAAAGGGTCTCACAAGGAAGGAGCTGCTTGGTTGATCCCATCAGGGATAGGACGTTGTATCTGAGACTTGAGGTGATCTTAGACAGCAGCCAGGAGGAACCTGATAGGTTCCCCTAGATATCGGGCCAATTCAGGATGCAGATACAAGTTGGAGCCTTCACAAGGGCAGGGGCCTGTGGCTTCCCATAATTTTATCTGGTAACACTTACTGTTCCAGCTGGCACTGAGTTCCATTGACCAGCACAGCTCGGCTGGTGCCTACAGACAGGCTCTGGCCTTCGAGGGTGAGATAAGTACCCCCAGCCCGTGGGCCGAAGTCAGGTTTTATTGATGTCAGCACTGGTTCCTAAGAGGATATGGAAATGGAACCTTTCATTCCAAGTCCACCCCTCTTGTATCATCCACTGGCCAAGGGCGAAGACCGAGCAGTGTGGACTCACCACGAAAGAGAAGCCTTCCCGAACAGAGCTTCCATCTACCCGGAAGTGCTTGCCTGCTGGCGTGTCGGTGATGAGAAGGCTAACATTTGTGGCTCCCGCTGCCTGGGTGACTACAGGCTCCAGCTCACACTCAAGTTCCTCTACAAACACCTTCTGGAACTCTGACCTGGGACACCAGGAAGGGCAAAATGAGGTCAGTCAGGGATCATCTAGGGCTGACTGCATGCCTGTCAGTCATAGGGCTTAGCTGAACCTAAGAATGGCACCTATGCCCATGCCGTTTTCTGACAGCAGACAGGATTGAATGGGACAGGAACTAACCTTGTCTAGTCCATAACTAAACATACAAGTAGGACACGTGCAGGCTCAAAAAGGGACAGAGACATCTTAGACACAAGAAGCCAATATAGCTTATCCCTACCCTTCACAGGACACAAATGGGGGGCTGCTTGATCACTCTCATCAGGATAGGGAAGGCGGGGACCAGTTTATACCTACGGCTTGAAGAGCCCTTAGACAGCAGTCGGCAGGGACTTTGGCCTACGGTGATCTGGCGTGTGCCCTGTGGTTCCACATCAGGACGCAGATAGAAGTTGGAGCCACATAAGGTGAGCCTTGTGCTGCCCCTTAGAGGTCCACTGTGAGGGTAGAACTGAAGTGGAGAGAACAGCCCAAGTTTTTGTGTGGGGTTGCACTCCGCCAGCCTCCCCTGCCTCCCCCAGAGTCCCCATCATACCCCTTGCCTATCATACTCCAGCCATTCTGGGTCACATGCTAGTCCCCGTTCAGACTTTTTCCTGCCCCTGAAGTCTTTCTGTGTGCCAACCATCCCCCTGACGAGAATGCCCTCCTTACGGGCATTTCGGAGTGAGTAAGATCGTGATCAGGCCCTTTTGATGCCCCCTCCTCCCCACTTGCCCCTCTGTTACCTGAGCCCTGCTGGGGGAAGCAGTACCTCAGTGATCTCAGGTGGACAGTGGTCCTGTTGCCAAAAGCCAGGACACTCTTCCTGCCGGCCACACCTGTCACCACACCAGCCACATCCCATGAAGCGCTGTGCCTTCAGGCAACGCCAACAGGTGAGAAAATGATGGCAGCCAGGACCATGGATAGGCACCTTGAAGACCTTGGGGTGACAAATAGGTAGCTCAGCAATGGCTAAAGGTAGAAACTGGGCCCCACTGTCCCTGCCGGTCCCCTTTGTAGATTACAGAGGTAAGAGCTGCATATCAGTGTCTCTCTGGGTTTGACAGAGAGGCTGTGATGCCACCACCTGAACCTCTAGTTCTGACCCTGCACACCTCACCTGGTCCCCAGCGGCAAAGAGCAGGTCATTCCCAAGGCGACTAACATCCCGCTGAATAGGGTGCCCACTGCTGCCCAGGGAGAAGTTGGACACATACAGCAAGTAATTGAATGATCTGGCTATCTCCACCTGTGATAGATCAACTATGAGAAAACCAGCAAGGGCAGGAGACAGGAATGCGGGGCCAGACGATGGTGGGGTAAAGGACCTACCTGTAGAATACGCCCATCTGCAGTGCCCATGTGGGCCACCGTAACATTGCCAAGGCGTGTCACGTGCAGTGCAGTGACCTTCACTGATCCTAACAGTCCATTGAATAGGTCCACACGTGAGAAGCCACTCCTGATCAGCAAAGGAAAATAGTGGCAGCGAAAGCTGGGGCTGGAGGCCTCTACACCAGGCTGGAGAAATCCAGGCAAGAGGAAGAGTCAGCATTCAGGACCATTCACGGATGCTTTGGGGCTTTTGCCAGTGATTACAGCACCTCCAAACTACTATCCCTTACCTTGCTTGACTAGAAGGGGCCTAGAGCCTGCCCCTCACCTACTACCACCACGCTCATAAGCTCTTGGAGATAGCTAGGGTAGGGAAGAAAAGAAAGGCCCATTCTAGAGAGCCAGATCTCCTACTGAAGGGACCGTGGTCAGCTTGAGAGTAGTGAGCACAGCTCTGGTAGGACTTCCTCCCTTCTCCCATTCCCTCTGTCTTGCTAAAAACCATTAGATTACATTCCTGAAGCTAACCACCAAGGTCTATTCCCTTATTTGGCCACTTCCTCCTCTTGAGGTTGACTGTCAAAGTCCAGCAATCAGAAGCCTCCTTTGTTTCACATAATTAACATGTCCACTTAAAGTTAAACACCTCATCCCAACCTAGGGTTTCCCCCTTTACCCCTCTGGGACAAATACCCCTGCCCTGTATCCCTTGTCCTCTTCACCTTCTCCCCCACCCCCTATCCCCTCTACCACCTAATCCCAGTCCATTCTAACACAGACCTCCCCTTCTGCTCTTAAAAATTACACCCGCCAGGTCATTTGCTGCTGTTGCCTGAGTCAGAGAGCAGCCACTTTAACATTTTTTTCCTGCTTAATAAAGGATCTCTCTGTGAAAACAGGTGTTTGCATGTGGTTTGTGCCTAATCCGGGGCCAGGGAGGCAGTCCTTGCTGTGTGGGAGTCCCCTTCACCTCCCTTGCCCTGCTTTGTCCAATCTGATGATGAATTATGGAGTCCTGTAGACCCAGTGGGTCCTCATATTCATCCATTTATCCAAGGCCTCACAGCCCGCAGATCCAAGTCAGAAGCCCACACTCTTAACCAGAGTACTCTCATGCCCCCTGCTGGCTCTACTCTGCCTTTGTGGGTGCATCTTAGCAAGCGTCCCTTCTGGACCTCAGTTTCCCTACTTGTATAGGGGACTGAATCCTGAGGTTAAGTGGCTTCCCAAGACTGGCTACCTGGTTCCTTTCCTTGAGACTCCATAGATCCTTCAGTTACCTATATCTCCCTCATGTATATAAAACAACCCCAAAAAATCAAAAAAACAAAAAAACGAAACAAAAAAAAAAAAAAAAAAAAAAAAAAAATCAAGGCTCCATGACATGATAGAGCCATGCTCCATATTCTCAAAGTGAGTTCCAGGACAGCCAGGACTGTCACACAGAGAAAGCCCATCTCAAAAAGCCAAAACAAAACAGAGAAGTTGGGAGACACAAACCTCTCCCTTGCTCTTAACCAGGATCTGTAATTCTTAGGACAGGGTTGGGAATGGTCCTGGGAAAGTAGGAAGCCAATGTATGTATGTAGCATGCTGGGGTTGGGGTAGAATAACAGGAAGGACCAGGAGAGAGCCCTAGGTGTTCAGAATCTCCTTCAGTTCAGAGAGTTAACCCATCCCAGTGATAAGCAGGGTCAGAGAGGAGGAGGGGCAAGAGCAAGCAGTGTTGAGTCCAGACACCCCACCTGGGCCTATATTCTGTTTGGGTGGGGACTGGGACTTTGTCTTTACTTGAGAAGGAAAGGGGCCTGGCCCTAACCAGAAGCTTGCCAGGTGTTCTCATCATGACTCAGGGACAGGTGGGGCTTTGGCATTGAGAAGAGGCACTAACTCATAAGAACACAGCCCGGTTTGCTTGCCTCTAGGCCCTAGCATCTTAGCTATGGTTCCCAGGACTGACTAAGGTCTCTAGCCCTAGACTTAAGTGTCCTATTCCCCACAGCTGTTCCACCCCTTATGAACTCTTGTAGGAAGGCACTAGCTTTTAGATAAACCATTATGGGTACACAGTGGCTGCTGCCTGAGTGGAGACATACTTAGTCATTGGACAAACATTGATTTACATATCTTCAGAGACTTGGCATATCTCCATACCTAGAGCCTGCAGGCGAGGCGAAGATTAGTTCTTCTGGTGCCTGGCACTATTCAATCATGACCCACTCCCCTCTAGCTAAGTTGGAAGAGGTTCTGATTTCCCATCTAGATTCAGACAAAAAGTTCTCACTCCCAGGGTTTCTCAACCTAAATGTACTCAGCTGAGGAAGAGGCGATAAAGACCCCCCACTCCAAGGCTAGGGATGTTGTTCAGCAGCAGAACACTTGCCTAAGATGTCCAAGGCCCTGAATTCAATCTCTAGTATTGGAGGAAATAAATAAATAAATAAATAAATAAATAAATAAATAAAGAAAGAAAGAAAGAAAGAAAGAGTTAGTACCAGGCCTGGTGCATGCTTGTAATACCAGCACTGAGAGTCAAAGGCAGGAAAATCTTAAGTTCAAGGCCAGCCTGAGTTACATAATGTATTCAAGGCCAGCTTTGACTTATATAGCAAATCCTGTCTCAAAAACAAACAAACAAACAAAAAGTCTGAAGATATAACCCATGGTAGAGGCTTAGCATACTTGAGGCCCTGGTTATGGTCCTTCAGGTTCTAAAAGAAAAATGAATTCCTCCTGGGTGTGAATTCTGTACCTGCAAGGAATGAACGGAAGCTGGGGATCAGCCTGTCAAGAGCAACCCAGCCACTGCCAGCCCTGGTGGCACAAGCTTTATAGCTCTAACTACTCCAGAGGCTGAAGCAGAAGGATTGCAAGTTTAAGGACTGACTGGGTTTAGAGAGTGAGTTCAAGCCCAGCCCTGGCAACTTCAGTGAGACTCTCTTTCAACATTCAAAGTATAAAGGGAGAGGAAGGCACTGGAGACACAGTTCAATGGTAGAGCATTTGACTAGCAGATGTGAGGTCCCAGGTTCGACTCCCAATTCCTAGTGTATCTAAAAGGGGTGTGTAGTGGGGGGGGGCAAACAAAAAAATTGTCACAGCTGAGCCAAGGGCACTGTGTGGCCAGAAACTCCAAGGATATAGCTATGGGCCAGTTGATAGAAGGCAACTCACCGAACACTTCAGTCAACCTTTTTTCTTGCCCTAATCTCTCAGTAGTCTTAGGTGTGAGGCTATTTGAATGGTTTCAAGGAGTTCTTGTTTTCTTAATTTTGACCCTCAAACCCAGACTTCACATCTCCTAGGCCCTACCACTAAGTTAAGCCCCTAGTTAATGCCCTCAAGGTAGCATTTTAAAGACATCCTGTTTCCTGTTTGTTTTTTTTTTTTTTTTCTGTCCTTCCTCCCTGACATGATACACAGGCTGTAGGGCCTCCTGCCTGGGGCGGGGCCTTGGCTGCAGTGACAGAAAGTCCAGGGTGGACCAATTCCAACCAGCCCTTCCTACGCCTTTACTCATCCTCATTGCTTATAGTTGCTTGCACAAGACTGGGGTGAGGTTTCCCAGAACCTTCTATGTCTGAGTTGAAACTGCCTTTCCACTCTGTCCCAGATTTTCCTGTAATGACCCTGTGGAGAATGGGTTAGTAAATCACAGAGCGTACAGGCTAAAAACCCCCAGACTTCCAAGGCTCCCCAGAACCTGTTTGGGTGGCAGGGTTCTCTGGCAACACTGTCTCACCATCTCTGGAAGGCAGAGCAACAGAATGCCTTCATCGAAAAGGGAAACTATATTGGTAAGCAAGCAGCTGTGGGTATTTGATCACCAGCATCTGCCGTGTAGGTTTTGCATTGCGTATGTTTCTTCTCTCTGTGTCCCTGAAGGCGTGGGTGGTGGGCAGGTTGGAGGGGATCATTTGACCTGGAATGTGGAAGTTGTGCTGGCAGAGGCAACTACGATGTTAGACCCTCCTCACATAACCAAGGAAAGTACCTTAAAAAATCAGATGACAGGAAGGGTGACAGAGCAAAATGAGGCAGAGGCATGAGCCTCATGCTGAGATGAACTTCCAGCTTGGCCCTTATCTGCCTGCTTCCCCGCTACTTCCAGCACTAGGAACTGGGGAGAAAAACTGCTTCATTCTGCCTGCCTTCTCCCACCCAGGCCCTTTGGGTGATAGCAAGGGAATGGCCGGTATTTCAGCCCCACAGAGTACTCACAGGTCAGGGGCCCGCTCTTTCTGCTCACCGGATTAGGGCAAAGACTGGGTGCCTGGAAGAAGTTGAGACCTCTCCAGGGTCGAGGAGAGGTTGCAGAGTCACAACAGTGTTCTACGCCCTTTTCAATCAGGGCGTCCAGCTGGTAAATGGGGAAGGCACACACAACAGAGTTGGGACCCGTGCCAGAGCTACCATCCCTGACAGACACAAAGACCCCAAATAGCACTTCCTGGCCCTCCGAGATGCTCAGCTCCACAGCCAGTTTGGCATCCACGGGAGCAGAGTGGGCTGCCTGAAGCACTGGGTAGGGCTGCGTGCTCTCTGGAACTCCCCGACGCCGGCGTTTGGGTGCAAAATGACAATCCAAGACCATCTCCCGGTAGTCGCCCATCTCTGGCTCTATAGCATTGAGTCGGGCCAGACGAGTTTGCAGGGCACTGGGAGGGCTTGTGACACTGGTAGGTTGCACAGTCAGAAAGTAGACAAAGTTTCCTGAGTGGAAGCTGTGCACATATTCAATACGGTAGGAGGTCAGATATTTGGGCAGCACAGACAGCGAGGGAAAGCCTGGTTGGAATCCAGAAGCATCAGCCTTAAGGCGACGGATGGACACTGACCGTGGACTAAAGCTAGTGGCCAACTCTGGGTCTAGTGAAGATGCCACATAGAAGTAGGAGGCATGGCCCTGCTCAACCACGGTCACACGCGTGCCCAGGGGACTAGCCACACAATCTGGGCATGCCTCGGGCTGGTTATTGCTTGCTGAGAAGAGGCAGGCTGGTGCTGCCAAGTGCAGGGCTTTCTCCCGAGTTTCCAGCTCATGCAGGAAGCAGCGTCCCTGTAGGGTTGAGCCACAGCTGATCAAGGCTGGCAAACCCGGCTCTATCACCAGCACCAGTGTGTCCGTGTCATTTGGTGGTCCATGAGGGCCTGGACCACAGCTCGCACAAGTCTGGCAACCTGGATCTCCGATAGGGCCGGTGGTCAGGCTCTCTATATACTGCAGGTCAGGCCCAAGCACGTGCAGGCGATTGCGTGTGGCCACAAACACCGCACTCCCAATTTCACTGTCCTCGTAGGCTGCCATGGCTTGTACCTGGCCTCCAGCCGGGAAGCTGGGGACCTCGTACTTTACATTAAAGTTTCTGGAGGCTGAGAAGGGTATTCGTGGACACTGCCAATCCAGGTTGGTGGACACGGCCGGCAGCCACAAAAGAAGCATTAGCAGCAGAGAGGACTGTAGCAGCAGCAGAAGCAGGCCCATTGGGACTGAGCTGGAACTCTCGGGAATCTCAGAAGATCCAGGGGACCAGACTCAGGTCCGAGCTGAGACCAACACCATTAAGCAGAGGTACTGAAAGCTCCTGGGCAAGCTGACCCTTCTGCCCTGGTCCCTGGCAGACCCACCCTTTCCCCCTGCCCTGCGGTCTGAGCACCTGGCAGTGGACTCACCGGCAGGGCAAGGGCACGATCACCTCACCTGCGGGCCCCAGCTGCTGCTTCTAGCTGCCACAGCTACTTGGATCAAAGTCTCCAAAGGCTCTGGGCCCCGTGGGTGCGGCCGGGTTGGGGGCGGGGCTACGGGCGGAGCCACGTAAGGCTCTGCTCTCTCTCTCCAGCCCCGTCTGACTCTTTCCAGCCCTGAGGAGACTATCTCCTGTATCCTCTCTTGGATGTGTATTTCTCGTTGGTCTGTGGGTGGGTGTGAGTGGAGTGGCCTGAGAAGGAGTCCTCCTGATCCATCCTATTCCCCTACAACCCACCTGGTTGAGGTGAGAGAGAATGCTTCAGGGCAATATGACCCTCATTCACAGAGACACCCTCAGACACCAGTTCTCACCATGTGGGGAACGGAGACCAGGAAGACACAGAAGACCAGGGTGATGTGTGGGGCTCCAGAAAGGGTACCACGGGACACACCTTGTGTGGGCAGGTACCATAATTCCATGTGCCTATTTGGAACAGTGTCAGAGGAAGGTGTGTTGTGCACTGTCCGGTCTGCCCAGAGCCATAAGGGTTAATGGAGTCTGGCCCCACCAGCTGGATAATAGCGGGAGGTGACTTATGTGAAGATCCAGCCCTCTAGCTCTGTTGCTGTGGCCCCAGTATGTGGAAGTATGGAAGGGTTGGTAGTGGTAAATGGCTCTCCCCTAGGGCCTTGTGGGAGAATAATCTCTGACTTCCGGGCACCTCTGGTCTGCTCTGAGCCTTGTTTTGTGGGCTTAGTCTCTGAAACAAGAATGTAATTCTGGTTGGTTTGTACTTAGAGTCCTTTTACCAGATCGGGTGGGTGAGTGAAGCCCATTCTGCTTTGCCATCTCCCTCGCCTGGACTTCAGCAGCTATCTCTTGGCAAATGGTCTTTCTCGATACCTGGGGGTGATGGGGGGGGGGGAGTGGCTTTCTTAGCCTGACAGTGAGCCTGGGCTCCAGGGGGCTCTTCACAGGGTTGGCTATAGGTAGTTGTGAGTACCAGGGTAGCAGAGGCTGGGGGCTGGGGAGGGAGAAGTTTAACAGAATTCAGGGGATCTTTACTCTTTCACTCCCCAGCCAGTACAAACCCTCTGCCTGCATCCGCTTTCTAACCTGACCTTAGTGAATGTCTCCTTTCCCCTTCATCCTTTCAAAGTTGGGATGCTGTTACCCTAGGATGACTTTTTAAATACCTTTAAAAAAACATTATTTAAACTCATCAAAAATATGGAATGCATCACAGATTTGTGTGTCCTCCCTGCTCGGTGGCCATGCTAACCTTCTCTATTGTGAGGAGGCCTTTGACACCAAGCCTGTGTCGGATGCATATCATAGGTCACCAAGAGCCTGGGCTATACACACCCAACAGTTAGTTCATTCTATTCCTCCATCCCCAGAGTAGGATTTCCCCTCCTTGAGCACCTGGTAACTGACAGGAAATGGCATATGGAGCAGCCATAGAGAATACTATACCCAAGACATCATAAAAGGTGCTCTTTTTCCTAAGTGGAACTGGCCCAGAAATGAATACATACACAACACAAACCATGGCACCCTTCCAGTGTTCCATAATCAACATGTCTAAAGATAGTCATGCAGAGAAGAACTGAAATACTCCCTACACAGCATCCAGACAGGGGCTCTTGTGAATGTGGTCCTGCCTCCAGAGATTGTGAGACATTTCTGGGTACTGATGGGGACTTCACAAGCTTGTTTGGATAGTCTTGCCCAACCCGTTTGGAAGTTAATTGGTTCTCTGCTGCCACCATGTGGCCATGATGGTGACCCCCTCCCTCCCAGAACAATGCACCCCTTCAGGGTAATTTGTTTCTCAACTGTGGGGTCCACAGGAGAACCCTTTCATCTGTGGGTTCTGCAGGAGCTTCAAGCTAGATATAGGGCCCTTCAGTGTTAAGTATGAGCACTCCTAAGGTAAACTCACTGCATTTGGCCTATTGCTAGCTGAGGATTTATTTAACTACTCCGAGATCATCTTACCTCAAAGCAATGCTCTCCATGGGCTCAGACCTCTCTGAACACTGCTTCAGAGGGTTAGGACTAGTCTTCTCCAGCCTTGAAATCAGGGGTTTCTCTCTAACTACGGTAACCACATCAGACTGCAGCTCTAAGTGACTGGCCCGGTGTAGTTTTATCCAGAGGTTGAAAACCCCTGGACTTGTGAATTCTGTCAGTTTCACTGCAGAGGAGTTCTATATCAGGTTCTTCTCTTTGCAAATGTTGGTGCCTCTGTTAGGAATACCTCATTTATTTTCCTGTCATCTAATCCTTGACCTCCAAATAGATAAACCCCACACTCCTAGGTGCCTACTGTCCTAGGTACCAATGCTTATCTGTGATACCCTTTTCCTATCCCTGAGCAAAAGTGATGTTGAGCTAGAGAAGAGGTGAATATCTACAGATGCTAGAGTATCTGCCATCAACACTCAGGGGCCAACTGCAGATCAGAACAACCGAGGATGCCTGTCTTCACATCACCCTGGTTCCAAAGGGTTGATCTGACATGCCTGGTCAGGAGCAAGCTGAAGGAAAGCACAAAATAGGCAGGAAAGAGACCTAGGGCATATGTGCAGGGTGCACACTAAGCCTGCTTCTGAGAGTCTTAGGAGACTGGGAGGGTGGCCAGTTGCCATCTTAAGTCTAACACAATCTAGGTTGAAACCAGTATTAGAGACTATGCTGACAATGAAGTACACCTGTCAAGCTGCATCCTTAACATGGCCGTGTTAATCCACACATGTCGTTCTCTGGTGTGGTTTTTAGTGGCAAAAGCAATGGTGGCCCTGTTTTCAGGGTCTGCATGGAGGTAGCTTTGACAGCCTGAAGGCCACATTATCAGGCAACTCTCTTTAGGTAAGCCCTTTGCTTCTTTGATCAGTGAGATAGTTAAGTTGGAGCAGGACCAGGAGAGCTCCCCATCCTTCTGTACTGTGCCCTGGGTTGCCCCAGGGTCTAATGGTAGAGTGAATGGAACTAGTCCTTTCCTGCTGAGCCATCTCAGAGTACCCACACTATTGCATGGAGGACAGGCTGAGAAAGAGGGAGACTGAGGACAGCCCAGCATATCAAGTGACCTTAAGGTAGATTTACTTCCAAGGGCTCTAGAGACCAAGTGGGCTTCCTTTGGCTCATTCTTCAGGAGCTGTTATGACAGACAGCCCTTTATGGGAAGACCTAAGCATTATCCCCCAGAGGCCTGTGGCCACAGGAGACTGGATTCTGAATCTGGTTATGTTCAACAGCGGTTTGCCATGCCAAGGGCTCCTACCCAGAAGCTGGTCCAGGACATCCACCCTTGTCTGACTCAGCTTAGCCTGTACTTAACTACAGCAGCCCATTAACCAGAGTGCTAGGGACTGAACTGTTCTTTGAAGCATGCTTCTGGGAACCTCACCAGGAACATGCTGGCACTACAGAAGACTGCGTTTGGGGAAAGATGGGGCGGACAAGGGAAAGACGGTAGGGTGCATATGGCAGGGTTTCAGGAACCAAAACAGCACCAGACTGGAATCTGCCTGCATGTGAGTGGCCTGCCGCTGGCAAAAGGTGGGAGGGGAGGGGCTCAGGTAAGCATGTGCTCCCATACATAAGGAATGTGTTGGGTCAGGAAGGAGGATTCTGGGCCTATATGTGAGAGTGGATGGGTAAAAGAACCAGTGCCAGGCCAGGCGTTGGTGGTGCACACCTTTAGTCCCAGCACTAGGGAGGCAGAGGCAAGTGGATCTCTGTGAGTTCAAGGCCAGCCTGGTCTACAGAGAGTTCCAGGATGCAATACAGAGAAACCCCGTCTCAAAATAACAAAAAGAAAAACAAAACAAAACAAAACCAGGGTGGGGTGTGGCGGCACACACCTTTATTCCCAGGGCTCAGGAGGCGGAGGGAGGCAGATCTCTCAGTTTGAGGACAGCTTGGTCCACACAGTGAGTTCCTGACAGTGAAGGCTCATGGAGAGAACTACAAAGTCTCAAAAACCCACCGACCAACCAAGCAAACAAACAAACCAAAGAGCCAATGACAAAGCGCAACCAGTGTCTTTCCCAAAGCACTTTAATGCACGCACCAACCCACAGTCCCTGCTGCTGGCTGGGCAGGGGAAGCCAGCCTCACCTGGAGGCTCCCGTGGCTTCCCAGGCCCCATGTGCCTGCCCACTTCCATCAATAGGTGAGGGGTGTGAGGATGAAGAGCCGGTCTTCCTCTTTCCGGATCCAGCGCATCAGCTTGTGGATGGCACTGACAGCTGATGCCTTGGTCCCCAGTGGGCTGTAGCACATGTAGAGCTCAAAGGCACCTGTCACCTGGAGGAGGGGGCAAAGGGTCGTCACCTGGAATAGTCATGCCTCATGCCTCTTGTGGCATCTACCCAGTATCCGCAGGAAGACCAGTTCACCTAGGGCCACCTTACCCAGGCTAGGAGGTTCTCATTGGGACCTGTATAGTAGATGGTCTTGAGTGGGCGAGAGGCATTGTGAGCACGGCTGTGCAGGTACTGGTAGAGGCCCAGCAGCCGCTCCTGCTCCTCTTCACTGGTGTACGGGGCCTCAATTTCAGGACTGCAGACGGAGAAGCAGGGTCACAAAGGAATGCCTTTCACAGTCTTCTCAGGAGAACTAGAAATACCTATTTCTGGACAGGGAGATTTTACTGCCTGTTCTCTCCAGGTGCTCCCCTATGACAGGGTATTGTCTTCTGGCTATAGAAGATTACCCAGGACAGACTGAACCCTGAGCCCCCCACCAGGTTCACCTTTGGTGACCCTTCCCTTGGAGAGGTTACTCTTGAGTTTAGATATCTAACAGAGTAGCAAGTCTAGAGCAGAGGAGGTAGTCTCCTGGGAAACCTTCTGATGGTGGGGATGGGGTGGATATATCTGCCCAGCTGCTTTAGTTGAGGAGTGGGGGGGGTGTGTGTGTGGGAAGGCTCTGTATCCTGCCTTGGCCCAAAATGACCCCAAAGGCAGTGCTGCTCCAGGGCAAAGGACCTGGGAAACCTCTATTCCAGCTTCTTTCCCAAGTTGTTCCAGGCCTACATG